CGTGTTCGTTATCGCCGTCTACGTAGATCTTTGTGTAAAATTGTATTTGTATATATCATTATTTTAGAATATAGCACAAGCGATAATGTTTTCTCCAATATCGATAACGCGCACCAACAACGATCTTGGATTCGAGACTAATTGTAAGACTAGACGTATCACATAATTTATGTGCAACAAATTATAGTAACATGAGTCAACTGCATTAATCAAAGTGCATTTCAAAATGCTATTGAAAAGATGCCAAGTTTAAGCATTACTGCTTTATTATTGTACATCATTAAGTAAATGCAACGAAAAACATTATACTCAAATAACTAAATGATTAAAATTTATTATATTAATAGGACTACATTCTATATTTTTGTATACGTGAACTGTAATATATTTTGGGTTTATCAAATTTCGCCAGATATTTTTGTACATAATTTCCGTAAAAATTTTTCAACAGATATTTTTCTACAAATTTTTTGTCCAAAAGAATTTTTTTTCAAACCATAAAATTAAAAAATCCAAATTTAAAACAACTGGCTGAATTCTAAAATATAAACAATTGAATGTTTCTTCTTTAGCTTAATTTTACACTTTTTGAAGTGTTTATATAATGTTGTTTTTGATTCAGAGAATAAATTCCTTTCACTTTTTTAATTAAAACTAAAGCTTTATATTAAGAAGTATGGGTACAATTATCCGATTTTGGTGAACATAAATCCGGTAGTTTATTTTACCCACCTTCTTTTATAGGGTGAAAGAAAAAGTCGTATTTTAAACATTATAAATAGGACTTTTCGGAACTGTAGAAATGCAACAATGTTAGGTTTGTTCTTTATAACTGAACTAGTATACATTTGTTGTACTTAAAATGAAATAGATACATATTTGAAGTTTTGCAACAGAGCGAGATAAAAAGTACAATCCAATGCAGCAACAAAGAACAGATCTATTAAATTGATTTCTTTCGAGCTTTTTAAATTTTTCTAAGCAAAATAAATGAAACAGCAAAAGTATACATTTGCAAAATTAATTTCACATCGTTGCAATGGTCAGAATCAATTTTCAGAAATTCACCATGTGCATGTAATTGGTAATCTTTTCCACGCATGTTTGAAACACCCTCGCATACCCCGTGAATTGATGTTTTACATAAATAACAAGGAACATCACGGATTATTCTGTGATGCTTAAATCTTTTCATCACCATAACGATTGCAAATACTGCACTAATATGGAAAATTGGATTTAGGTGAAATGAGTTAATTTTCACATATAATGTAGCTTATAATGTAGCTTATATGGTAAACAAAAGATGCTACAGACAAGGATATTGGATAGTATTGAGCTGCTATATCAAAGATGCCTTATGAGAAACAAGTTTTACATATTTGATGCATAGAAAAAACTACAAAAACTGTTACTGAGACTTGTATAAGCTTTATGATCTTTTTCTAATATCTTTTTCTAAATCCAAAATTAAAAATTGATAAGCAGATTCAAAAAAGAAAATATTTATGAACATTTAAAAAAAGATAAAACATTGTCATTCCAATATTTGCACGGATGACAAAAGAAAAAGCGCTACTTAGGTCATATTGAGTATATTTTAATGTTCAGACACTTTCTCTTTTTAATCTAACCATTAATTTTCAAGTTTGAATTCAGAAACAGACATTAGAAAAAATTGTGAAGCAGACTCAAATAGGTCGCAGACTGTTCTAAGATTCTAGACCTATTCTTTTTCCTAGTTTAGAACTGAACTTCTTGCATTGTGTTAGCTTTCTTTTTTCTTTTCACATTAAAGAGAAAAAGACAAAAGACGAACCGTGTAAAAAGTTCAGTCTTTGGATACGAAAAAGAACAGGTCGCAGACCCTATATGACCTACCTATTATAGCACTTATGAAATTATTCGGATTCCGATCAGAATTATGTTGGTTTCTCTAGAAAACATAACAGAAATCTAGGGAATAATTGAACAATTCCGATCGGAATCCATTCTGAATAATTAATACCTGCCCAGACCTTTTATATTTCATTGTACAAGATGTACTTTCCACATTATTACTATTTTTGGATCGTCCTCGACGATGTTCTGCACGACTAAACACGATAGACCTTCATACGGAATGCAACGAAAAGCGAGTGCAAGTCTACAGCGAAAAGTCTACTGTTTCCCCGAAGGACAATGGTATTTTCATTCAAAGGATTTCTATTGACGAAAAGATTTGCGTTTTATTTGCGATTCCTACAACTTCTCATATAATATACGCAATTTAAAAAAATATTATTTTACTGACAGAAACAGTAATTACAAAGAAAAAGAAAATCAAACTATATCCGGATAAATAAACCGTGGCAAAAGACGTGTAGGTCTTTTGGAGAACGGAAGTTCTAAAGAATAAGAGTAACAAGAATAAAGGACTTCTCTCGACACGTATGTTAGTTTGGCTTCGTATTTCCAAGGTCGAGCCTTCGGAGGAGAAACACGACATTTCCTTCGTGCGCGTGAACGCCTCCCAGCGATCGAATATGCCGGGAAAATTATTGTGGCAATGAACAAATTCGGATGTCTCGCTTGACGCACAGAGGCTTAATATCTTATCTTCTTCCGCGTGCATAATTCTCAGCGTGAGAGTTGTATGCGCTCATCTCACGAGAGCGATAATAAAAGAATGAAAAAGATAGAACAATAACAATAACATAAACTATAATTTGCAGAGGGCGGAGAAAAATAAATCTTTTATTTTATTTTTAAGATATTACTGATTTCAAAATTGTGTCTAAAGGGCACGTTAAGACTACGACATATTAAAAACCTATTAAGTTGCTCATACTTTTGTTATCAGAGAGAGAGATGCAAGCATAAAACCTAAATAAATAAATTTATTAAAATTGTTCATATTTTATATCGATTTTGTAATATAATTTGAAAAAATGTAACACAAATACATAATTATATTTTCTCATACGTTACTTTACTCCGATATTCTATAAAAGACCATAAAAATATTGTAGGTATTTTACATTTGAATACTATGTGTGCATATGCATTTTTGTGGATTTCGAAGTCGAATTTTAAATATAAAAATAATATGTATGTGGTAAGAGATATTAAGTATCAAAACGTGATAAGATTAATTAAAATTAAACAAAATTTAATGTAAAACTTGTGTTAGTTAAAAGTAACGCCCTATATAATGGCTGCTTTCGGTAAACAACTAGTGATTCTTGTTATGATTTAGAGAGTTACTATAGCAAGATTTTCAAAATTAGAATTTACAGACTAAAAATTCCGGGCATTTCTCTTGCAACCCCAAATGCATATAAAAAATTATGTGCGTAGATTAGTAAAATTGGTCAGACCAGTTAACAAATAATTACTTCACATCTAATTGTTCATTATTAGTACTAATTTAATGTAAAAAATTCACTAATCGTAGTTGATCAGTCTTCTCATATTTGACTGCGATTGTTTCCTAGTTTTATACGACTGCTACACCTATTTATATTTATTGTACAGAATACAGAATAGCGTGGGAGGAGTCAAAGAAAACAGGTAGAAGACTGCCTACAACCTCGACCCCTCGTAACTGTACTCAGATGCCTTTGGAAAATCCCCCTGGACGGCCCCAAATGCTCTAAGAAAAAGAGGATGGTTCCGAGGAAAAGAGAAAAAACAGCAACTCTATTATGATTGGTGATTGAGTGGATATAGTTTGACCATTGCGACTGGCACTCACAGCGCACACCAAGAACCCCCAAGCTACCATTTTATCCTTGTTACATTAAATACGGAGCGCCACTACGGTCTGAATGTTAAGATGTTGAATTATTATATATATTCATTTAAATGAATTAATTTCAGAAATTATAATTGCGTGCCGATATGGTTGTCGGACTTTCGACGCAATCAATCTGAAATATTAATAATCCCCCCAAATTTCCCAAATTTAATCTTAAAAAACTGTAATAAACTTATTGTAAAAAATATTGCCTAATATTATTAAGAATATAAGTTTATTACAGTTTTTTTAAGATTAAATTTGGGAAATTTGGGGGGATTATTAATATTTCAGACTGATATATTGCGTCGAAAGTCCGACAACCATATCGGCACGCAATTATAATTTCTGAAATTAATTCATTTAAATGAATATATATAATAGTTCAACATCTTAACATACAGACTGTAGTGCCGTTTCCATATTTAAAGTAATGTTTTTAATATAAACGGTCTTATTTCCAATATTTACCCTTATTATTCACCGAATGTTAAACAGGGAAACACTCGATGTGTATTCCCGAACGTAGCAGAAAAGCTCTAGACTAATAGTCGAGTGAGACGCTTTCCTTTCTGTGCTAAACGTAATAAATATAAAAAAATTCTTATTAAGAATCAGATATTTTATTAATTAAGATACAATATAAAATAAGTAATAAATAAATAATTGTTGCAAAAATTATATATATCATTTTATAACAATAAGATAACTTTTATACTACAAAAATATGATAAAAATCGTTACAACTTAAAATTATTAGAAAGAGATAAAATTACTTAAAATGGTGAGATATTTTATTAACCAATTAAAATAATTCAAATATTAAATATTGTCATATATAAAGCAGCGTTGAGTTTTCATTAAAAAAAGAAGTGTTTAATTTTATGATATTAAAATGTTTTATTATTATCTTCGTTTTTTAAATATTTAAAGATGTTTTAGATAAAAAAGTTTAAAACTAAAACATTTTTAAGTGTTTAAAAACGGAGACAAGAATAAAACATTTTAATATCTTAAAATCAAACACTTTTTTCAGTGTTCTTGCATTATATTTTCTTATTTTAATATCTTCCTTAAAAATTTTTTTTGCTGTATTATAGATGTATGTATAATTTTATTGATATTTTTGTTTTATTATATATATATATATATATATATATATATATATATCAAAAATAAAAAGTCATGAGCCTATGGCGGCCGAGTGTTTAAAATGACTCACCATACATTGCTGACGTGTATAAGACCAATCGCCATTAGAAAACATTCTTGTTGGTCCAACTTCGGACGTTTCCTCTGATTTCGTTCAGCACGTTCTTCTTTGATAACAGGAGAAACCGTCTTAGCTTCATTGCTACCTTCGTCTTCTTCAGCAACTTCTTCTTCTTCCTTGACCTCGTGGGTCCTTTTATAGGGTTGCCGAGTATCCGGTCGATTAGAAGCCGCCATGATGTTCGAAATTTTAACACGTGTTGCAGACCGTTTCTTATCTGTCTCATGGAGCAACTTAAAACAAGGCTCTACTAATACTGGCACATCTATGGTAGGTACCGCGCCCAAGCGCAGTCGGTTCCTCTTCTGATTGCCTTGCATGATCTGCTCCCTGCTTTCATCCTCGTAGAATTCCTCCAGGAAGTGCCGGGAGCAGATTCGCGCCGTCTTGATGTTGAACGGAGGTTCTCCATTTGCCAAAGGTGCACGGCCACATGCACGTACCCATGACTCGCGCAATTCGGTATTGTGCGGGAAACGGTGGTATCGCACCGACTGCTTGCGGGTCCGGCGATGGCTGTTGCGGCACGTGGCCACCGCGCACTGCGGCATCCTGAACGGCGCGGTCTCCCTCTTATCGTCGTCGAGAACGGCCTATCAAGAAGCACAGGAGGACAAAGCGACGACTGAGTCCGGCGCGGTACACATGCGCGCGCGCGCACATATAAACGCACAATCGCGAGCGCGGAGAACGGAAGAACGTGATGGCGAACGGCGGTGGTCGAGAGACGATCCCCCCGAAATTCACGCGAGACTAATTGATGACGAACGGTGAATGATAAGCGACCGCCGTCGACTCGTCTGTCCTCGAATGCGATTCCTCTTCTGGTAGCTTTGGGAATGTGTCTCTGATGACTACTCTGCTCCGACTGATTGTGAATCGAGAGTTCGTCTGGGTGAGACTGGTCATCGAGGGAAGCGTGAGGGTAACACTCGAGCCAATCATGGTCTAAATAGGTCGTACTATACGTGCTACGGCCCTTTTGGTAGCCTGTACATGAAAAAGACGTAGTGGGGGAATTGGAAAAGGTAATCCTCTTTTTCTGACCTGACAAAAAAAAACAAGAGATAAGGAAAGGAATATAAAAACTCAGTCAGGTATAGAGAGAACAATTGAAGAATGATGTCAAAGACATTTTCGTTCCCCTACTCAACTTTCGAACTTTGAAATTGATGAAGTCGAAAACTGATGTCGTAGGGGTAGTACGAAAGATAATGGAAAAGCGAGAGATTGAGAGAGAGAGAGAGAGAGAGAGGAGCATGTATGTTAGAGAGACAACGACAGGCGAAGGAAGAGGAGAAGATCGAGTGCGTAACGTCCGCGAGAGGTGTCGCCTCGGTGAACGTCGCGGCTACGACAATCGGCTGCTATTCCCATTTACCAACAAGATGGCGTTATTGAAGCCGGCAGCGCAACCGGCCGGCATCACGGAGGTACACGACACCCGGCAAGAAACACCGTGTGGAGAACGCGGAGGACCGAGAGGAGGATACCATTAGGCAGATAGGAAAGTGCAAGAGAGAAAGAGAACGCGCGTGATACTCACTTCTTGCGACGGATGTTGGCACCGGAAGTGAGCGCGTGTATATTAGGAAGACGAGGATAAAGGAAGTAAGGGGTAGTTGGAACCATGTGAAGAGATAACGAGGACGAAGGGCGACCCGATAGCGTAGCGATAACGATGGAGACGGCGATGATAACGATGACAACGACGAGAACGACGATAAATAACGATAAATGACGACGTTGCCAATGATAACGACGACGGCGGCGACGGCAAATTTACCCGCGCTCGCGGCACCACTCCGAACACTGGCCTCTTGCTCTGATCGGTCCGCAACGCAAGAGGTGGCGGGCACACTGGCACAGCAGCTGCGTGTACCTCTTCGTGCCTGCGTGAACCTGTGAACCAATGATCGTGCGCCGCCGTTGCCG